GCAATTATTACTGTGTTCTAATGGTGATTTGGAGCACTACCATTTATTTATTTGATATTCTGCCATTCTTTGTCTAGCATGAAACTAAACAGAGTAGGTAATCAATAAATACTTACAAATGTAACTAAATTTCAAGAACCTATTTTTTTATTAAAGATTTTTTTTTAATCTATTTGACAGACAGAGATCACAAGTAGGCAGAGAGGCAGGCGGGTGGGGGGAAGCAGGGTCCCTGCTGAGCAGGAACCTTTATAAAACCTTTTATTTTAAATAAAATGAGATAACAAAATGTGGGTAAGTTCAAGGCAAATATGTTTTTTGGTAGTTGTGCTGTTCTTATGTCTTATGTCTTGACTGATGGTATGGAAATAGAAAGAAAAAAACATCAACTACCTCACCTCTACTAAAACTGGAAAACTTCCTGAAGAAAGGTGAACAGTAATAATAGTTGCAGAGTGCCTTAGAGTTTATAAGTATACTTGCATCCATCCTTTAGTATTTCGAAAGCTCTCTGAAGAGAAAATCTTCAAGACAAGAGAGATTAAAAAAAAACTTCTGAAGTTTGTGAAAAAGCACTATTAAATCAGGAATTAGAAAACTAGGCATAAAAACTAAGTAAGGCTAACAGGGAAAAGCAAAAATAAAGGCAAAAAAGAAAGAGACACAATATATAATTAATAATGGGTCCAGTGCAAGGCTTTAAACCAGGTGATAAATTTAAATGCATAGCATGAAACCAAGATGAGTTAGATTACATAAGATAAAGAGCACATGGTTAAAATAATGAAAAGTGTCATTAAAATGAGCATTAAGAATGAACTTTAAGACTATGCATTGAAGGTGAAAAATGAATAGAATCTTCACATACAAATTCATTCATTTCTTCATTAGTCACCTCCATTTTCCCAGAGCTTTAACAGTGTTAAGCCAATAAATATCCAAAAATATTTGCTGAAGCTCTATATAATGCCAGACATTTTGGAATAAACACTAATTAGATAGGGTCCCTTCCTATGGAAAATGTGCTTTCTAAAAAGTAAAATGTTTAATGGAAAGGAAAACTTTTCACATACGTGTTAAAAGTTAAAGAGCAAAATAAGGCAGACGGAGACAACCTAAAGAGTAAAAGCTACAACAATCCAGAGAAAGAAGAGATCACCATGCAATCATATGCTCCGGAAAGAAAGGCCTTGAGAAAATAAGGGGCATTTGCAATGCACCTTCAGGAATTAGGGAGTGGGTGAGACTTGAACAGAGCCAGAAGAAAGGCATTCAAAGCAGAGATATGTGGCTGAACAAAGGTAAGGGGTTGAGATAATGAAGGTGCTTTACAAAGAGTGAAAATCAAGTAGGACTGTAATAAAAAGTATATGAAAACACAGGATACAAAATTGTAAGCCAAGACTGAAATGTGAAAGGCTTTGAATGCCAAGTTGAGGAGCTTGAACATTTTCTGTAAGCAATCCAAAAATAATCGAAATTTCTGGGCAAAAGAGTGATATAATGAATATGATATTTTAGAAATATCAAGTTGGCTTTTGATGTGCATAATAAATGGTGTACAAAAGGTAAGGCGAACAGTAAGATTCCAAGGTATGAAAAACAATTCTATTTTTATTTCTTCCACCATCACCATATTTGTATGAAATTCAAGATGCCTGCCTAGAGTCGAATATGAATAGAAATGCATAGAGTAGAATAGATAATTGTATTAAAAGAATAACCAGAGACTCTCCTAAAGCGATACAGAAAGTGTGGTTTTAGAAAGTTAAGAGAAAATGCAGTTTGCACTAAAGCTTAAAAAGTATGTGGAAAATAGAAGCCACATGCCTTCTTAATTGCACTATTCATTCAGGGGGAAACAACAACATATCACATCAAAGTAGCAATATGAATTAACCATATTGTATTTTACCTAAGCTAGAACTGTTGGTTCATTTCATTGTTAGCATATAAGAAAACTAAAGATACGTCTCTTCTCTCATTACCACAAAAAAAGTAAGCTACCCTATGTTCTGCATCTCCATTCCTTAAAGACAATTCTCCCGACATTCCCTTAAACCTCTCAAACAATTCCCTAATTCTATCTCCTTTCTTCTGTATAAACTTGTCTCATTGAATCTTATTCACTTCTTAATCCCACTTCAAAATATAAGATGTTACAAATTTTCTGAAATTGCTCTTAATAAATGTAAGATCCTTAGCCTTTACATAGTGCTTTATAACTGACAAAATATTTTACACACATTACTTCCTAAGCCTCACAGAAGCGATGCACAGCAGGTATTATCACCATCCATATGCTATAGAAAAGCAGCAAGCCCAGGGCCACATAATCCTAAGTGATAGTGCAAGGCCTACAATACAGGCTTTCTAAATCCAAATTCCATATTCCCTTCACTATAGCATTCAATTTCATAATGTGCCAATAAGTGTATCTTATTACTCAAAATGTATGTTATTACTCTGTATTATGTTTAAGTCAATACATCTTGTTTTTAATAAGGTGCTTGTGCCCAAGTGCCTATTACGGGGCCATTTACTAAGAAGACCTAATTATGTTTAAGATGTTCATGATGATGATGATAATTATCACTGGATGAAAAGTGACAACTGAAGTATAATGTTTGCAAAATTGCTAAGACTATACCAAAAATATTTTTGCCTTAAATTCTGTAATGCAACATCAAGAACAAAGACAATATGGATGATTTAAGGATATGTGAGCATCAAAGGGCAAAAACAGGGCATTCCTACTCTCTTTAACTCTGCTAAGGCCTCAAATACTGATATAGTTCAGAGCATCTTATTACCAGGGAGACATAAATCAAAAGGAGTTCAGCTAAAAGCAATAAAGCAGATTAGTGTCTGGAAGTACAGACTTTAAAGAAAGTTTTAAAAGAATTAAATCCAGGTAGTCTAGATAAAAAACAGCTATGAAAAAACCTTTTTTTTTTTAACCTGTCACTCACACCAAAGACAGAAATTATTTTGAAGATAGATGTTTTAAAAATGCAAAAAAAAAATCGTAAATATTTGGAGAATATGTATAAAAGGAAAATTCAAGATAAGAATATGCTGGCAAAAACCTATGGGACAGAATTCTGTCCCACAAGTGTGGTAAAAACTACATTCCTAGAGATATTTAATACCAGGCTGGACAAAACAAGAAAAGGATTCCATATGGAATGATCCTGTACTGGCCCCTGAAGTAGTGGAAAGATCGAAGATGACCTCTTAGATCTTTTCCATTTCTGATTTTTTTTTAATTCCATGAAATTTTATGGGGCACAGCCTTCTACCAATTTCCTTTCTCCCCATGATGCCCACTTTCTCCCTTCATAAAGGGAAACAAATTATATCTTTCATTTTAAGTGGATCTCATGTTCTCAGTGAATTGGTAATATAATCCTAGGTACAAGTTTGGGAGAAAAAGGCCAATTCCTGTCATTTATAATGGTCCTTTCCCCCCCTTCTCCCCCCCAGCGGTTCTTGGGGCTCTTAAACATTTTTTCTCAAGCCAAAGAAGTAGTAGTTGACATGGATTCGAAGAAGAGCTGTTTCATTAGGAAAACCATTAATATTCTCCCTTTGCATGCCTATCACAGAGCTGACAGTGACCCTGGGAGCTATAAGGCCCTAGGTCAAATTACCATCAGAACTGCTGTTCAGGTTTATCTTTTACCTTTCTGCATTTTATGCTGAGTGACAGCAAAATCTATTGCAACCCACATTTTTATGGCAATGACATTTACCTCTGAAAAGACCTAGCCTTATACTCCTATACACTTTGGCAAATGTTATAAGTCCTATTCACACTTTAAACTCAAGAAGACTCAGCCTTGCTCTCTTTCTCCACTCTAGCACTTAAAAAAAAAATTTTTCCCCCAGTCACCCTTGGGATAGATCCCAGCATCTCTCCAGAATCCCATTCAGTGAAATCCCAGAATATACATACATACAATGGCATTTCCTCATTTTGCTGATTTACAAGGACAAGATATAACAAAATCCAGGGAGCTCTAAGAACCTGTCTTTGAGCTCTGTAAGCTCTGAGGCTCACTTATGAAAAGGGACAGCAGGGCGGAGATAACTCTTCAAGAATGGACACCAATGCCTCTTTTATACAACCTACACAGACAGCCTCAGTAGCTGGGGACCCACCAATTCCCATCTGGACTATGTGAAAGAAATATGTTCCCTACCCACAAAGAAAATTCATATATATTAACACTATAACCTCTAAACAAAACTTTTAAACACCATTTTCATTTTTTCCTAGTAAAAACGAGACTATTCAAACCTAAAAAGATTGGCTTCTCCAACTTGAATATGATTTGGAGTTTTCAAAGCCCTTCCAACACTTAACTCATTTGATCCTGGCAAGAAAGAAGGCTGGCATTTATAAACCCATTTTAAAACAGGGTGGGAAAATGCGACTCTAAGATTAGGCAGTCTGAAGGAGAACCCACTGTGGAGATATTCAAACCTTTCCCAACAAGGAGGTCCAATACAAAAGGATTATCCAAAAAACTTCAGAGTGGGTTTCAGAAGAAGTTGTATCACCCCTATCCTCAACTCAGGAAAGCAAGAAATAAGAAAAACAGAAAGGCACTTTTTTCTAGAATTTTAGGAATGAAACGTGACCCTGACCCATTAGTAGCCTAAGATCCTATCTGAATTTTCTCAAGAAACACTCTACATCTTCTACCCCACAGAACTGGTCTGCCAATTGTTCTGGCTACCAATTCTCGGCCTCGGAGCTCAGACGCCCAGCGAAAGGCCGGCAACCTGGTGACCACCAACCACCCTCCCCCGCAATCACGCCAGGAGACCCAAACTCCCGTATCCCCTAGTCCAAAGCTACTAGCTTTTCAGAGGAGCTTCCACCAGGCTCTCCTCCAAATCTGTTAACACCCCCACCCCACCCCACACATCAAGTGCTAGCTCCTATTCCTCAAACTTCCGTCACCCCGCTAGACTGGAAGCAAGTTTCTCACCATCCTCATAGTTTTTGAGATAGTAATCCGGACCGGGGCCCCCGCGGCTTTTCGCCGGGTTCCTCAGGTTCTGGAACTGCAGGAAGTCCGTCCTTTTGCCTCCAAAGCGCAGAAAGGCGGGCGAAAGTCCCCGAGCCAGGGTCACCAGACGCTTGGAGCTGCAGAGGTAGAGAAAGAGAGGAAAGGATCCTGGGGGAAGGCGAGAGGGCGCGGGACACCGACCGAGACCCTCTTCCCACTCTCCGCGAGCGACCTGGCGGAGGCTACGGGCTATCCCACCACTTCAGCCCGCCACCCGCGTGGGCCCCGGCATCTCGCGTGCGCCTAGCTCCCCGGGCTTTGCCTCCTGCGCCCAGCCGGCCGCGGCATCCTCCCTCAGACAACCCTACGCGGCTCGCCAAAGGTACTTCTTTCCAAACTGTTAGTCTGTTTGTTAACACAGTGCATGTGGGGGGTAACGGGTGGGGGGGCACTTCTGCTGAGAACACGGGGCTAAGGCGCAGTTGCCCAGCTTCTGCCACTGCCCGGAAAGCGCTCCTGGCGGAGACGCGCAGCGCGCGTACTGCTGGGCTCCAACTTTTGCCAAACTTCCAGGCTGAAAGCCGAGATCTGTTTCCTCCGCCCCAGAGGCACCGCAACCGCTGTGGATAAGGTGAAACCTGCCTCCTTTCTCTCAGACAAGGTACCTGAGATGGAAGTTTTGTTTTGTTTTGTTTTTCTTAATGCTAAAGTTGATTTTCCTTCAACACTATCTTGTAACAACCGCATCCATCTCCCAAACCCTGGACAAGAGATTCCCGGGGTAAATCCTTGCTTTTCTGAGAACTCTTGCCCATCCCTGCCTGGCATGGTAAAAGCAGTGTCTCTTTGGTCCCTTAAGTAATTCAGCGTGATATCAAGAAAGGTAACATCCTCTCTATTCTGAGTTCAACTTCATCTTTTTCCTTCCTACGTGGGACCCTTTGGAAACAAGCTCTGGGAAAAGTAAAGTTTGCCGATACGTGGAACCCACTCCTTGGTGGAGACTCGAGGAGCACCAGAGCAGCATTTACATTTATTTAGGTTCAGGATTTCCATAACTAAGCTGTCTTAAAAGCCAAAAACTACTTCAGGGAGGGGTAAAGAAGGAGCAGCGCAGATGCTCTTAGTACTAAGACGACCAACTGTTGAATTCCGGATCTGTTAGTTATTTTTAACACTTTGCTGGTTCAGGCTCTGAAAATCCAAATCCAAATGTAGAAAACACATAGGATTATAAAGGAGGGGGATATGAAATTAAAAAGCCGAGGACTCCAGTTTCAGAGAGTTGCTGACAAAAGTGGTAGCCGCCCCAAGAAGTGGCCGGGAATGTCGTTTGCCCGAGGACTCCAGGACGGCGTTCTCAGACGGGCGCAGTCATGGCATCGCGTGGCCCCACGGCAGACAGAGGAGACATCCGTGCCAGTACCAGCCGGCAGATAAGGCATTTCCAACAACCGTCCATCCGGAAGCCTGTACAACCAATGCAAATGCGCCCCGCCACGGCTCTTCTCCGAAAAGCCGCTTTCCAGAATCTTTTCTGCAGCATGCCTTTAACGAGACTGTTTAAAAAGGAAGGAAGGAAAAAGAAGCCCGAAGGAGTCCGCGCTGCTGGAGTAGAGCTATGCAAGTGGGGCGTATATTTCGGAAAACCCCCGTCACTCGCAACCAGCGGACGAGCTCAGAGACGCGCTCTGCTGCACGACAGAACTTCCGAGGAGGAACCCCGGCCGCGCGTAGCTCTTCCCGCCTTCCCGCGGAGGTACCGCCAGGAACCCAAACGGCCTCTGCGGCGGCAGCAACACCACCAACCGCTCAGTCCTCCCGCAACGCTCGCTCCACGTGGAAGGAGCGCTCCACGTGGCGCCTCCTGCTACCTGCCGCGTCCGCTGATCCGGCTGAGGCCCCGGGCAGACCCGCAGCGCTGAAGGGCGGGAGCACGCCAGCAGCAAAATGGATTTCGCAAGGAGTGAAAGATACTCACGAAAGACGCGCGGCAGACGCGGCCTCCGGATGGAAAAGTGGGACTGAGAGAGCGCTCAGGGCTCTTCGGAAAAGCCCACAGCTGAGGCTCCAATTTGGATAGAATTTTTAATAACTCAACACTGGATTCGACATTGCAGACGATTTATTTATTTATTTATTTATTTATTTATTTATTTATTTTATTATTTTATTTTTTTTACACTATAACTCTGTCCCTGATGGGTAGGGGTCTTAGTTGCCTAACTGCTAAACAGTAACAACTCAGGTAGAAAGTGAGCACAATTAAATCCCAAGCCGTTGAGTAAGGGGGGAGTCCATGATAACAAACCACCGGTTTGGTAATCCGCTGGTGACGAGTTCAGACCTCCGAAACATCCCGTAGTATTTCTAGGACCCTTTCCGTTCTCCTTTTATACCCTATGACTGGAGCGAGAATTTTTTTTTTCTTTAAAGAAAAACTATGCAGTTACCGCAGGAGATTTAAGGAGGAGGGACTGGGGGGCCATTCAGTCTATTAAAAACGTCTTACAAAGTCCTGAAGTCTGGAAAGGACAGCGGAGGATATAAAAGAAAACTCCAAAAATCCAATCCAACTTGCCCACCGCTCAAGTCTCTGCTTAAATTCGTTTTCTGTCTTGGAATGGGAGAGAACTGACAAATCGATCTTTCCGTGGAAAATTCCACTTTCGTGAGATCCCCGATTGAACACTCACATATACACATAGGCACACACACACACACACTCTCTCTCTCTCTCTCTCTCTCTCTCTCACACACACACACACACACACATACACACCAATTCCTCTCAGGTCTTTGTTGCTTAAGACCTTTTCTTCGCTTTTGTAACTGCCCTGAACCTCTTGTTTCTTTTTCAGAAGGAGACGGGGAGGCTAATTGTGGATATATGTAAGCACAACATTTTTTCAGTCATAACTGATAAGTTTCTGAAATGCCTTCTGCATTGCAAACATGTGCATCTTAATAGAAAACACTGCTTTTCTCAATCACCAGTTAAAGCCTCACAGCAAATATTCCAGGAGGAGGAAAACCTCTTTTCTTCTCTTTGTGAGATCGCTTGGCTTATTTTCTTCTTCTTCTTCCCCCTTTGGAATGGGGGATAGGAAGGGGTGGGGGATGTTACTTTAAAAAAAAAAAAATGATCATGGAAGCCCCTGCCTTACCTTAAGAAATCGAGCCAGCCATCATGAATGATGGACGGATCCAGCTGCAGAGAGAGGAAGTTCTCATTGACTGTCCTGACTGGGTTCTTGGTGCTCACATCAAGTAGAATCAGAGTCTTTTCCTTCAAACCTGGAGCTCTGTCTACAGGCAAGGGTCTCCTGTCTCCAACTTGGGAGGAAAGGGAGAGATGGACCAACAGAGCCAAGAAGAAAGCCACCGGGGCTAGGCACGCAGGGGGGCGGGAGTTGCTGGAGGGCATGGCTTCAGGGAAGGCACAGAGCACCCCCATTAAATCCCTCTGATTTAAACCTCTCTTCCTACAGGGTCTCGCTGGTGACTAATTGTCCTTATCTAAAGTGTGTGTCTGTCTGCCTCCCCCCCCAACAGTTTTTTTTTTTTTTTTCCTTTCCTTTCCCCCCCTCTCTCTCTCTTTCCCCCTCTCTCTCTCTCTCTCTTTTTTTTTTTTTTTCCAGTGTTTTGGTGCTGGTGGAGCAAACTCACGCCCCTAGCCAGCCTTCTCAGCAACTCGTGCCAAGAGTACTCGTTCACCAGCGCCGCCCCTTTAAGAGATTTCGACTGCAGACATTTTTTTAACTTTTTAAAGGTGAGGGGGTTGGGGGGGGTGGGAGGCGGGAAGTAGGAGGAAGGGGTGGCGTTGTACCCTCCTGATTTAACCCTCTAGGGTCAGGAAGCAGAGAGAGGGATCGAAACTGTATGGTTGTCATGTTTTGGGTAGGGGCGGGACATTTTTTTTTTTTTTTTTTTTTTACTTCCCTCCCAGCGAGGCTCTGGGGAGGGCGGTTCTAGCTTCAATCCCGACTCGAGAGCCCCAGCGCCAGCCCTGGACGCGCGGGAGTAAAAGAGAGCGCACCCGCCACGAGCCTGTTTCTCCTGACAGCGGCAGGCATTTCTTCCGCTCTGGGCCCTTCCCTTTGCGCTGAACGAGCAAAAGCAAGAGTGGTTAACTTGCAGAGGGGATCCTGCGGTGGCGACTGTGATTCCTGCTAAAGCATTAGAGTGCAGATGGAGACTTAATGGACACAAGTATGGACCTCTGCTACTAGCTGGGCAGCCACACAGAAGCATCCTCTGGCCTCAATACGGGAAACAGTAGCCGGAAGGAATACAGAGTGACCTGGTCAAAGGGCTTATCCACTGGTAGGAGCAAAAGGGCCCGGGCTGCGCATGGCTCCGGTCTGCCTACAGCCAAGAAAAAAGTGTCTTGGGGAGACTTCAATATACCCCAACTTAGGCCAAGTCAAAGCAATCTGGTACGTGCTTGGACAGTCTGGGCCGAGCTGCGCCCACCTGAGCCACGGCTTGGCTACTCCACTGCACAAGCGGACTTGCCCTTCCAGCCCCTCCTAGAGGTCGACCATGGTTATCCATCCGCGGGGAAGTGCGCCTTTACAGTGCTGGAAAGGAATAGAGTAACACAGTTGGGTTTTCAAACTTGGCCAGGAGTCACAGACAGGGCCCGCGGACACACATTCCCTAGATGCACAGGAACAACCAGGAGCAGCGTAGTGCACCACCCGCCCTAGCTCACCAAGCCAGACCCACCCCACCTCTCAGGCGAAGCTGTGGGTTCCAAGCCGTGGGTTCCAAACCCAAGCCCGGAAAAGAAGTCGGGCCAGTTTGCTATACCCACAGCAAAGTTGTGGCCCCACTTTCGGCTTCTTTCTGGAACAAAATGGGCCTTCTACTTGGCAGATGAAGATAACTATTTTACGTACTGTGGGGATGCATGAGCATCCCAGGGCCTCCAGATATCAAACAGGCAAAATGCAGAGCAAAGGTTTTCCCCAAGGGTGGATGTGCAAATGGCAGTCTCAGAGCCACTGACACTGAAATGGCAACCTGTCTCCCCTCTCTCTCCCCAGACAGGATGAAGGAATCCGAAAAGGGCTGGAGTGCATGACCTCCAACTGAAGTTCTCTGAGGAGCTTCTATCAAACTAAGCAACCAAGAAATACAGAGGTTAGGTTGGGTTAGACTGAGAAGTGCCATTAAGAACTTCTAGAAGTAAGACTGCATAAAATGAGACCAAAAGAGAAGGAAAATCCAAGGCATGTTATTTAAAGATGATTTTAAAGATTTTAAATACTGAAATATTAGATGTGAGCTTTGGCCCTTAAGACCTGCCTTCTTTTTTTGGTTCCTGAACCTTTCTGACACACACCTAAATCCTTTAAAATATGTGTGTTTCTGTGAGTGGGTGTGTGGTATGGTACAAATTCCCATAGAAATTACTATAATTTTAAAATATGTGCTGAGCACCTCCTTGAAATAGATGGTAACAGCCTGGTGAGCAAAGATTTTTTTTTTTATCTTTGTATCTCTAGACCCAGGCACTTAGCAGGCACTCAATAAATGTCTATGAAAGAAATCAATCGTAAATCAAATCATGCTCAATACAATAAAATCATTTGGTACATTCAAGAAGAATGTGAAAAAAATAAGACATTATCACAGTGAACTTTGTTTTGGGTTTCAGTTCAGTCATTTGTTTACCCAGCTATTAGCATTTTCCTGGTCACCTCCTTAAGGAAATACTTATCTTACAAATTCTGAAGCCATTAGTTCAGTTGCTGTATTCCGAATTAAAACTGATTATATATGTTTAACAAGGAGTCAGATTTTCCAAGGGCCTAAACATCCCTTGGCTTACAAGTGAATGTACTTTCAGAAGCCACATTATTTGGGACCAGAAGACAAACACATAAATGAAATAAATCACTCACCCCCTAGATGTCTATAATTAACGTACCTTTCAAAAATGCCTACCCTTGGGACTAAGGATGAACTTGGATATAATGAGAATCTGCCTAGTTATTAATTTTATCCACGATTTTTGCTTACTTACCCAACTATTCTATAATTATTTGGTGTCCTACTTAATTTAACCAGTATTTAATGTTCTCTTCAGAACCTGTATATAGTACAAAATCAAAACCTTTCTTTTTAATTCCTGATGAAAACTATATTCTTTAGTAAAGCAATTGAAATTCTGTAGTCATGTACAGCCTCAGGACATCGAGGCAAAGAAAGCAATTCAGTAACATTTAAGGAGTTCCAGATAGTTGACTCCAAGATGACCTGATTGTTTGATCCTTCCTTCTAGTTAGGATAAAGATCTTTGCAGGGCTACTCTTCCCAAATAGCCTCACCTCCCCATATCATGGCTTTTGTCTTGCTTCCTATAATCCTAAATTATATGCTGTAAATAGCTCATTATTAATCTCTATATTAGATTAGTTTCTACTCTGGTTTCTATGTGCTGAGTGGCAATGACCTGGACCTCTGTTCTGTCTTAAATTGTAATTTCCTAGGAGATAAGAAGTGGGACCTTTGTATAAAATATGATTTGGGTACTTAGATGCATCTCTTTGGAAATGCTCTTCCTGATGTTACTGAATGATCTTCATAGATAAACTCCTTTGATATCTAGGAGTCTAGTTTCCCACACCTGTAAGAAATCTTGAAGATTAACTCATTATTTTTCTAGACTATGGGATTTCAAAATAAATATTAGTAGAGAAGAGCTGACATATATTTGACAACTTATTTTGTCTAGCAAGCACCTTAAAAAAACTATCAACTATTTATCACTATTATTTCCCAAAAGGAAAAAAAAAATTTAGTAACCCCCCCCCAAAAAATAGCTGACACGGTATGTCAAAAATAAAAAGCAGGTGTTTAAACTGAATAAATTTAGCTTCATGAAAAATCACTGTAGTATTTTCATCATTTCATCTCAGACCAACTGAGATATGCCAGTGGCCAATATGGGTATCAGTACTAATGACTGGGACTAATGCTACATCCTGTTTTTTATGGCCAAATTCTACTTTGTAGTATACAGGAATGCTGCAAGATGTGCATGCTTTTTAATGCTGATCTTCTTGACTACAATAATTTCTGTCCATTTTCCTATGCTTTTTTCACACTGATAGCCTGTCACAAATTCACTGATTCTATATGCTACCTCTCTTTCTATTAAACATTCAGATCTATAGTCACTTCTATACCTTATTTCCCTTCTGGAAGAATTATATCTAGATATCAAATAGCAAGAAAAAAAATTCTTGCCACAATAACTGGAATGCGAAGGATGAAGCTATAGCAGCCAACCTGCTATCTCATCATTGCCTATGGACTTGTCCACAATGACTACTATTTATTAAGATCCTATGGTCCCATAATGGTATTCCGAATTATATGTATGTTATCTTATTAATCTTATCAAATAACTCTGAGAGGTAGATATAATTCATTAGTATACCTAGTTTACATATAAGAAAATTGACTCAGAGATATTAAGCAACTTTTTCATGATACACTGCTAATAACTAGCAGCAAGGATTGAAACCTAGGGCTATCTGACTCCAAAGCCTATGTCTGTGTTCTTAACCAACACACTCTACTGTCAGTGCTAAAATACTGCATACCTTTTAACAGTTTGTCATTGTACAGCTGAAAAAACCTTGGACTAGGAGTTAGAATACCTGGGGTTAAGTCCTGACTTTCCCAGATCCTAGCTTAATGACCTTGGGTAAACTTTATAACTGTTGTCTCAGCTGCCTACTCTGTAAAACTGACATAATATCCTTGATTAAGAAGCAAATAAGGTTATGTCTGGGAAAAGTGTTTTATGAATTCCAAAATAGTATTCAATTGTGCTACTGGTTTCTTGTTATGTCTTGTTCCCTCTCTCCCATACTTACTACAAATACATCCCCTTAACGAAGACTGGGGCAAGAATTAAGTTATAAATAAAGAATTCAATGATAAAGTTGAAACAAAAGTTCAACTATAATATAAGATCAATAAATGCAATAATAAAGCAAGTATGCGCCACATAGTTAAGCCATGCAGGCTCTTCTGCCTGTGACTAGCATCTGAAAAAGAAAGGAAGTTAAGTTTTACATGCCTCCTTCAGTTTTCCACTAAGACAGAAGGAAGAATAATGGGCAAAGGATAGTGCTGGGGAATAACAAAGACTGTGTCTCTGTCATGCTCAGAGGAACAAGGAAGGGCAACACTTTCTCCATATGGAAAGCTGAAGGGGAAAGGAATTTATAACTATGATTGTTCTACCTCATTATACAAGAAAACTTGAGCTGGATGGGTTTTGTTCCCATTGTTCCCACTGAACAGTAAACTTATGTGGGGAAGATCATAACCATAATAAATTCAGTTAACTCTAATAAGTTCAGTTCAAAATCTCTTAGTATGTTTGAGGTAGGGATGATAGTTATTTGAGAAACTTCTATAGGTGGAAAACCA